GATAGATGGCCCAGGAAATAGCGAGTAATGAACAGCTCGTACCACAATTGACAAAGGCGGGAGTGTTTTCAATATTGTGGACTGAGGGATAGCATACATTGCGCTGTCATAATGCAGAGACACCAACAGCAACAGTTTGATACAGATTTGTGCCATTGGTACAAGTCCTATGTCAGGGATGAATGCAGTGCGGGCACATGCAGGAAAGGAGTCGCCCAGACATACTGTACGTAGCTCTCATGCTGTTTTAGGTTTTGTAATACCACCAACCCGAGAGGACCTTGACAATTCACCACCAAAGCCAACCAATACGGGTACATGAGTTTCTTTTGCTTGTTTGGGTCTCAAGAATTCTGCTGACCAATGGCATGAACTTATCTACTTTCCAAATGTCCCCAAGTCATTCGCTTCGTGAGCTTTGTGGAGACCTTTGCTACATTCCACGGAAAAGATGATCCCAAATCCCAAACACCACCAGTGCTGAAGATGGGCACCCAGCGTGGTCAGTCCGTTTCTTTGCTGTTCTGAAGACCTCGAGTCTTTGAAACCATAGATACATAATATAATGTTCACATCGCAATAATAAACCTCCCACCCAGTGAAAAACTGGTGGCAAACAATGTAACAACTTGTTCGTCGTAACGACAAACTACTGGCAATAAAAAACCTCAGACCTTAAGACTATGACAGCTTCTTTTAATTGATCGACATTGAACATAATTCAAAAACTAACTAATTCAATCTGGAAAGAGGTTTATTATTACACAGGAGTGTATTACTGCAATTGTTCAGAAAGAAACTTATTATTGTACAGGAGAAGGTCTGGTTTATTATTGCCACCTAAGAAACATGTTACAATGAGAGGAAGTTGTTACTTTTTTGAAACACAGTAGTTTATAATTGTAAATTGTAATTGTATGTCATTGGCACTCGTAAGGGGCAACCTTGCCAACACATTCTTTTATTGTTTAATATTGTTTTTTTAAATATACATTGGGATATAGTGTATATATATACACACATTAGGATACTACTGTATGTGTTGTAAGTCCAAAACTCAGCCAGGTAGATTTAGACAACCTGATTTCCTTCCCCCTCAAAAATACAAACCAATGGAACCATGCGTTCCATCTTCCTCCTGCACCCCGACCGCCACGCACCGACGCCAGGCGACGTGGCCCTGCGGCTCCAGCGCGGCCCGCTGCTGGCGCTCCGCGCCACGGACCGCGCCTTCGCGGCGCTGCGGGCGGCGGGCGACGTCGTCACGTGGGGCGATCCCGGCGCCGCGGCGGAAGGTGGAAGGTGGAAGGAGCGGTTCGCGGGGGATGCCAGAAGGAATCATTTAGCAGTCGAGAAACATCTAGAGTCCTAGAAATTTTTTGGGCATCAGATCTTTTGTGAAAATTACACAGCAAATCTAAGTCTAAGGAGGTCGAAGGTGTTTCTTTATATAGTTTTTTTGTTGGCTCGTCAGTATTTTGGGTGCTAGTGTTTCGGCACAAGGTGTCCAACTGCAAGTGGGATTGCTGATCGTTGTTTTCATTCGCAGTTGCCCGTTCCAGAACGTAGGAAGGGAATTCTAGAGTGAACCAAACTTTGATACCTTAACAAGAAACCAGGGTAGAAACTCAGAGAGCACCTAAAGGAAATACACCGTCCAAATCTTTTGGCACGCTATCCATCTAAAGAGATGTTTGCTGCGAACTGCGAACCTTAATCGATGAGCAGTTCATTTGAGGCTATGGTGGTTACAGCAGGTTGGTAGAAGATCAGCTGCAGAATGTGAGACTTGGCCGCAAAGACACCGACAACACCTTGCACGCGGCACAGACAACAGATAGTGGAGAGATTCTTGAAAACATTCAGTTAGTCTATGAGTGCGGTGAGTTTCGTGCTGGCAGTGCAATTGCACCCATGTAGCACCGCAAGCATATTGATGTGGCGTCATGATTCAACCTGCATGAAATTGTTTGTCAGAACTGCAGCAGTGTTCCGTGTTATGAGCACCAGGCATTGCTGGTCAATGGATTGCTATTGTTCAATCTTAGAAGATATGACCAAGAAGGTTGTCAGCATCAAATGGGTGCGGCGTATTAGTATAAGAGCAAAGAGGATATGGCAGATCCTAAACGATTGGTATAGTAGGGATGCAACACGCATAAATCTATCTCAAATCACTTGTGACTTCTGCCAGTGCTGCTTTGTCCTGGCCAACCCCTGAGGCGACAGCTGCAGTCCACCTTTGCCTCCTTTGCTGCCCTGCTGGCAGATGGCCGTGTTGTGGCCTGGGGCGATAGCCTTACTGGTGGTGACTGTCGAGTGGAGGAGAGCCGGCTACGATGCTTGGAGGGAATGTTTGATTTCGCATGATGCGCACGGAGGTCGAGAGAGAGAGAGAGAGAGAGAAGGAAGAGTGTGGAGCTGGGGATCTGGTTTTCGGAGGACCTTCCGCAAGTTCGTTGGGGGAGTCAGTGGATTTGAATCACAGTCCGCATGCTGTGGGTTGGGTGTGTCCCAAGTCACCAACCAAGAGTGGTGGCCCATCCTGGGTTCAAGTTGGTGGGGGGCTACAGGGTGAGTGGAGCGCCACTGGTGTTCATGGTCCAGGAAATGTTCGGAGTATCCAGAGCTGTGATGCTGCCTTTGCATCTGGACTGCAGCGAAGTGGATGTGTGCCATGTGCAGTCGCCCCACAACAGTTTATGGTTTGGAGTTTGACGCCCATGTCACATGAACCAGTCTGGAGTAGGACCATCAAAAAGGTCATGTGCAAAAAATGTGTTTCTTCAACAGTAGCAGTAGGGATTTGGATTTCCACAAGATGTGTTAACCTGGTCCCTACTAAACTAAACCAAGCATCATCAATTTATGCGGCTTTTTTTTACAGAATGGAACGACTGGAATGCAATCTTGGAGGCGAAGAAGCTTGGGCATCACACCACCACCTTGCACTTTGCACGTCATAGCGTCAGGCACAGGTGGCGCTAAGATCTTCTTTTATTGATTTTTTTTGCCCTCCCCATGATGCCGATGTCCGATGTGGACATGGGCCACAAAATCCATAACCAATTGAAAGACGCATCCCACCTCGGAAAACACATGCCGCGCCTACCGATTGGAAGACACCTCGGAGAACACATGCGGCGCCTAGTGTAGTCTCATGTGTTCCAATGAGAGTTGATCAAAGCCAAAGTATCTTAATCATGGATATATGTATTATTAATAAGTGTCGTTTATTTTCCAAAGATAACGGCATGCTGAAGTTCTGGGACCCGCAACATGTACTCTTTGTGGCATCATATCGCATCATCATCGCATCGTCATCGTTGGGTGGCCAGTGATTTCTGGCCTCCAACGGGACGGTGTCCAAACGAGGCAGCTCTCTTGGCAGATGGCACTGTGGTGACCTGGGGGTCTTCATTTGCCGGCGGCGCCTTGACACGAAGAGCCAATCAAGCGGTGCGGCCCGGAAGTTTGGAGCCAACATGGTTTGTGTATGTGTGTGTCTTACCAGCAAAACAACAAAACCGTTCAAAGATATGCTGTAAGACATTGTAGGACAAAGTTATGTTGCCCACAGAGTGAAGTAAGAGAAAGCCACATCAAAAGACAGAGTGTTCTTCCGTATACCCTCCCCTTTCCGTCTACCATCCTCACCTTCCCTCACCGTCCCTCACCGTCTATAGGTGACAGCAGCGCGGTGCGCGCGCAGCTCTACGACGTGGAAGCGATCCAAGCGACGCGGCAGGCCTTCGCCGCCCGGCGCCGCGATGGCTCGGTGGTGTCCTGGGGAAGCGAAGACTACGGCGCCAGGCCGGTCGGCCGGTGGTGTTGAGCGCGGTGTTGAGCGCGGTGTGGTGCGGGGCGTTCTGAACGGGTTTCGGAGCGACCAGCGGCGCAAGGTGGTTGGTGTTTTCCAGCGGGAGGATGCGTGGTGGAAGAGGTGGAAGCTATGGCAGGATTTGTGATATTGATATTGCAGGTCAGTAAACATAATGTAACAATGATTAACGTAAATTATCGTATTCCATCATATTCCAATTAAACCATAAGAACACCCTAATTAATAATTGATCCCTAATTGCAACGTGAACACTACAGGCTGCAAAGACTTTGAAGCACAACCTTTCTACCCTGCGAAAACCTCGCCAGGCCGTCCGTGCTTCAAGACGTGGCGGAGTTGGTGACCTGGACAGAAGAAGAGTGGGTTTTGGGAGATTGGGGTTGGAGAAGTTGCATCTTTTTTAGGGTCTTTTCTGTTGAGGCTGCTGGAATTCCCAGTTCAGGTCTCGATGGGTGGTCCGGCGAGGTCGAGGGCGCCGGCAACGCGACTCTGAAGACTTCCTGCGAGACGTCGGCCGTCGGACGTCTCCTTTCGCAGGCCGCCTCTTTCCGCTCCTTTGCGGCCATTTTGCTGGATGGTCGCGTGGTCACCTGGGGCCCCGCAGCACCATGACAGAAGGGAACCGCGCGGGGCCTTTTTTTTTTAAGTGTTGCTTTTTTGGGGAATCCCAATGGAATCACACAAGGGGCTGCTGCCTTGTTGGGGATTGGAAGAGCCAAAATGAACTGGTGGAACGAATTCGTTCGACTCGTTCATTCCATTGAGGGAGATACTTGAGCTGCATGGAATATGGAGCAGCCATGAACATGACGCTGTACTGAGCCGATGTTTGTTTGGCTTTGAGCACCGGAAGAAAGTGAGCCACAACAAGCAACTATGATACCTATGACGTGTGCTTCTAGGCAACCGTTTTGATTGACAAAGAAGAAGTGAAGAAGTCTCTAACCCGGCTGCTCCAAACTCCCTCCAGCCTGGTAGAATGCTGAGGATGGATATGTAATATAATATAGATTTGATCGCCCACAATCCGCGGTATGACACCTCGGGTGGCTTTTCTGGATTCAATGCAGCAGTACCCCTCATGTGGCACCATGTGGGGGCCTTTATAGGTCCAAATCTGAGGACTGTGGCGGCGACAGCCGCTTGGGCAGCGACAGCCGTTTGGGGCGATTCACCTCCGGAGGGGGCATGGAATTTCGGGACCTTTTTCGGAGGGGAGCCCAATGGCATTGGGCGCTTGGGGGTCGGGGGTTGGTTTGGAAGTTGACGTACATTGACGCCTATTCCCTGGAAGTCCAATACTATTTTGAATCATGGTCTGAAAAAGAGACCCGAAGCTGACTTTCCTTTACTTTGGTGGTGCAAAACAGATCAAAACAGTAGGGATTGAGACATGGACTTTCTGTATCATAGTCCTTTTCTTTGGGATTCAGATCTGCCCATTCTCGATCTGCGCCACGATACGGCCAGCCGTCGTTTGGATCCTTTCTCCGGACGGGGTCGAGAATCGGCGGTGGTCAAACCGAAATCTCAGCACCCATTTTCTTGTGTGGCAAGGAAACCATGCACAGCAGTGAATATAGCGGAATATAGATAAAATTATAATAAAACAGATTTACACTGACCGGATGATGTTGGACATGAGTTCAGGGTGTGAATTGCGCTTTATCCATGTTCTCCCATTGTTTGAGTCTTTTTGTCTTTTCCTCATTCCCAAACGACTGTCCATGAGTCCGAAAGGAGTATCACTGTCATGGATGATCACGGAACTATCCGTCCTACACGGTGAAAATCCTTTGGAACTTGAACTAGCATCTTCAATTTGTTATTATCCTATTTTGGGCTACTGAAATGTTTACGAAATCGCATGCAATGTCATGACATCATGCTTGACACGATCATGCTTGTTTGGGAACTGAATGAACAGACCGCAGAACCAAGCCGCTTCATGCTTCCGCCGCTGTTAAACAGCATGCACCGAGGTCAGGCTGTTCGCGACCAGCTGACCCAGGTGAAACAGATCCAATCCACATGGCAGGCACGTTGTTTCTTTTCCTTGGAAAGAAAATGCATGATTATCGAAACCTAAAAACGTATGACTCAGGACCATCCGATGAAAGAACGTTCTATATTAGTACTAGAATCAGAAAGACAAACTTAGCAGAAACTATCGTTTACTCTCTCTTCACATGTATATTGATATATAAGAAAGGAAAAGGGCCTCAACATTGTTCTGGTTTTTTAAACGTGGATGGTTCTGAACATTGGTGGATACCAATCATGCAAATATATCCATGTCATCACTGTTGAAGTAAAAAGCATCAAACCTTTTGAGTTAATCATTCAGCCAGATGAACCCACTTCTATCGGGGATATCAAGGGGATGTAAGCAAGGACCACGCATGCAACGAATCCACAGATGTGTCCGAAGGATTTGGCACAAGAGTTTGAGCTGACAGGAAGGATTCGGTAGCCATGGACCTCAGTCCATCCATGCTGCTCAAGATGGGGACAGCTCGCGTCCTGTCCGAGGTCCTGAATTCCACTGAGGCTCTGAATGCGACACGCTGTGGCTTGCCTCAGCTTGTGCAGGTTCCAGAGATCCAAAGTGTGGTCGTTGTAGAGAGTTGTATGTCATACGACTCCCTGTTCGGCTCTACGGATCGCTGCTTTTATGATCGCAATCGAACTCTCGCTGGCGGGGAAGTGGCAGTGGTTGGCAGTGGGGAGAGCGAGCTCTTGATGCAGCAGCATGGCAACGGAGTATGCTTTGCCTGGGGCAAAACAAGCTACACCAGTGGCGGTTACAGTAACAGCAGAAAGGAGTTTGAGTGCAAGAACAGGTGCTTGAGTTTGATGGAATGGACTCCTTTGGTAGCCGCTTTGAAAACAAGGACTGGTTCACCCACTCGGGACAGTACACTAACTCCCGAACCCAATTCTGGAAAGTCACCAAAATGCAGCTACTCACTAAGACTGAGGGTTCTGGAGGTGTAGAAGAGCTTGGTGGGGCCGCAGATGGGGCTATCGCGATCCTGAAGTCCTTCGGGTATTTGTGCTTCCTTCTTGCATTGCTAGCATGCTGTTGCTGGCCATTATACAAGCGCTACTGCCAGCCCAAGTCAAGCACTGTCGATGAGCAGCCTGCTGGCCCTGATTTGAATGCAATCGCAGAGGAGTCTGCTGTTCCTGAATCAGATACTATGAATGAGCAATCTGCTGCCAGCTCTAAATCAAGCGCAATTTAAGGATCTGCCCAATTAAGCTGTGCCTAACAACTAGGCGCAAATGGTGCCTTTTAATTCGTACAGACTTGCATCTCAGTTTGTACAGACTCTTGTCTCCGTTCGTGCAGACTTGATCGGAGCCGGACAGATGCACGCCACAGACCGATGCTTTCCTGACGCTTTCGGCCTCCCAGAAAAAGAACAAAACAGATGTGTGCCCGGTAAAAACTGGGGTTATCCCAAACGAAACGGGAAGACTCATACCACCAAGATGTCGATAGCCGTTTCTGTTCCCAATCTAAGGAAAACATTGTTGTGTTTTAAATTGTTGGATGACCCATAAGCCATCATATGCCATTCAGAAGCGCAGATGACCATCCTGCACAGTTGGCAACGCACCCAGCTGACAGTGAGCTCCAACGAAGAAGATGGGGCGAGCTCTTGGAAGTGATGGTTGTTTAGGGGCTATCAAAACTCAGAAACATAATGAAACATAGAGATGCCAACCAGCAAATATGGGATGGATGGGTTGTTGGAAGATTTCTTTCACCAGTAAGTCCAATGACTTACACATGTACTGGTAGTAGGCCCCACCAGTGGAGTTGCCTTGCTGTCGACAGGCTGACAACCATGCTTACAAGCTACTTGCTTAGTGGAATACTCTTGGAAAACCTTGGTTTGGTTTACAAAGAAGGGGACCACAGTACAGCCTGGTATGGTCTAAGAGTATTGGCTTTCTTCTTAGGCATTCGTAATCTGACGGATGCTGTTTTCTGTCAGGCCTCTTGAGCACATCCTGGTCATTGATCACCAGCACCGCCCCCAATCCTTCCTTTGGCATACAGAATCGCCCGCATATCAGGGGAATATATAGTCGACCTAATGCAGGGTTCCTGGGGATTCCGGCCCATTTGGGCTCTCCACAATTGCACATCTCTGCCGCCAATTTCGAGGCCTTCGCTGCTTTGAAAACTGATGGCTCAGTGGTGACCTGGGGCGATCCGTCCAGTGGAGGAGACAGTCGCTGCGTGAAGGACCGCGGCGCAGGCGCCGATCGAAGACATGGAAGATGAGTCCGGATGGGATGCAGCACATTGTGTGGTCGCCAGTGATGGAGCCCCGCTTGACGTTGTTTTTTTTCGAGCAGACCAGTGAACTGGGCTTCCAGACTGAATACAGTAGTTCATGTTGGTCAAACTTCATCTTGGGAGCACTAAGACACAGTAAATCAGAAAGATTCCATTGTCCATTTCTTATTTTGCCCAGGTTGCACATTGTTCTACAATGTTGTACCATGTTTGTATCTCTGCAGGATCATCAGTCAAACGCATCATTGGTCCACTTGAGTCCATGATGCTTTTCTCTTTTGTCCAGCTCAATGATGGCTCTCGATGCTAAAATGAGACCCTGTTCCTTTCAGGAAAGATGCCAGTTCGGGGCGTGTGTTGGTCATCACCGGTGTTTTTCACCATCAGCACCGGCCGCCGTGCACCGAGCTCCGCCCAGACCCCTCGGTCCGCAGGAACGCCTGCGGAACGTCATCCAGATCGCGGCCACCTCGCGGGCCTTCGCTGCCTTGAGAGCGGACGGAGAGGTGCGCAGCTGTGCGCAGAGCGGAGGGGCCGGGCCTTAGGGGGAAGGGGTGGAAAGGTCAACGGCTCAAAAGAAAGCGTTCGCAGAGGTGTACTCTCCATGCTTTGAAGATGGATGAAGTATACACAGGAATGTTTTTGAAGAAAGCACAGCAGGAGGCAAACAGAGAAGGACGAGCAGCTCGGCACTTCTTTTCCTTTCGGGTTGCTACACCCATGCATGCTTAAGCATGCGAAGAACTGGGTGCATAGCTGCGCAGAGTCAGACCTCCTTGCGGCAGAGCAGTTGCTTATAAGATCCAATTCGATGAACCTTTTGGACTTCCTGCGTCTGGTCTGTTGGTGCGAAACCATGGTGTGAAACCCGTGAAGGCGGAATCCAATCTTGCCATCCGCGAAGCGGAAGTCGCATGCGTCGCGGCAGGTGGTCACCTGGGGACTTCAAGAGTTTGGTGGAGATAGCTCCAAAGTCCAGCACCAACTTGCACAGGCGAGCCGGTTTTCAGGGTTGACGGATTTTCAGAGCGGACTGAGCGAATCATCTAGAGGGCCAACTTGGTGGGTCATACAAGGAAGTAGGCAGACAATCAAGTGATGATTTGACTGATCAAGCTTCATCGGAGTATGATGCTGCCAGTTTCCTTCGGATGTAAAGCGTTGCAACAGGTCAACTTCTTGGAGGCTTTTGAGGTCTTTTAAATATCAAACATTTTCAAACCATCCACACGTCAAATCGACCAGAAGCTGAGACTCGTGGAATCCAGCGACCTGCCCCCATGGAGGTGACTCACATTCAAGCGGGAGGTCAGTCTTTTGCAGCACTTCGTTCTGATGGCCGCGTCGTGTCATGGGGACACCACTCCATTGATGCTCGGCAGAATTTGGAACCACAGACGTTATTCTGGGAATAATTTTCGATGAAGACCCACCAGGATCATCCAGGATCCATAGATCGCGCTTCGCGATTGGTGTCCGCTCGTGTGGTTGTTGAAAGTCCACGACGTCCTCAATGGCTTGACTGCATGGCAAAATCATGGTAGAACTGCAAAGGAGATGAAGCAGATGATTTTGGTTACTTTTGAGACGGACACGCAATTGTAGCCGTCAAGGACCTTGAAGGACACCCTTCTTTCACGGAACCTATGGGGGGTTCAGGCGAAACTCTGCAGGGTCGTGCGAGAATTGTTTGCATTGCCAACATTCATTGTCAAGTTCTTGATTACTCTGCCAAGACCCACCCATCCATCAGCACCAGCTTTGTTGGCTCCCAATGGTTCCAGTGCGGGGTGGCTAGAGCTCTTTCTAGAAACCAAAGGACCCATCGACCCATCGATGGTTCACTGTCCGATGTGATAAGGAAAACGATCTCCGACCGACCCAGCGTCGCCCAACAAGAGGCACCAAGGGGCAGGACAACCGTGCCTGTTTTTCGAAGAACAACGGACAAGCTACCATTTGCAAGCGTTGACTTTTGGTTCTATCTACCAATCTGCTCAGAATGATGGCATAATCTTTTGGGCCTTTTTGGGCCCAAAACCAGCAAGAAAAGCTCGTCTATTGCCTTAAGGACCTGCGTCGCGTGCAAGACTTCCGGCATGTGCAGAGCATTGGCGCCTCGCGCAGTGCGTTTGCGGCCACCACTGCGGATGGAAAGGTGGCCACCTGGCAGAAGATGGATTCGCAAAAAGGAGCCCCCTCAAAACGTTTGGTTCAAATTCCCAAAGACATCCATAATGTTGGGATGTTTTTCTCGGTGCCCTGATTCATTAGTCGTGAGGAGAGTAAATATCCAAGAGCCTGAAGGTCGTAGAAGCCTCTAAGTCGAATATAATATACCGTATACCCCCACTAAAAAAGGACCTCTTGGCTCAATGTCCAAGCGATTGTTTTTTTGTGCAGAGCAGGAGCCGTGACGAGTGAAAATGCTTGGCGCCAAACTAGTCGTGTAGGCATGCATCGCAGGGATTTGCAGGGATCCAATTTTGCGTTGATAGATTCATGTTCCTGTCAAAAAACAAGTTGACCCCTGAAATCAACGGAAACTGATGGAAACTGGACACATTCTGTGACTGATGTGGGCTGCGGAGATGAACACAAGCCGGCTGTTTTTCAGAACAGCCGAAGGTACACACAGAGAGCGGCTGCAGCAGTTGCGCGATGCATCAAATGAACGTCTTTCTTGCTTTCTTTTGGGATGCCAATTAGTGAGTGATACCCCTTCATGTGGTTATAGTTATGGTATCCATCAAGTTTAGCTTGATTTAGCATTCCGCATTCGTTAAAATAGAAACATGTGGCACAAAACTAGCGCACCAAACCAGAACTGTGGAAATTCTTGGGCCGCGGTCAGACACCCTACGCTGCGTGGCAGAGTCAGGTCCATGGTCGGTTGCCCAGGGTGTCAGGTTTTGACCGTCATCAGGTTCCTCTCTATCTTTTATGAAACACAAGTTCAATAACCAGAACTTGTAAAGACCGAAATGTTATATATGACTCATGATGGTTCAGAACTTGTAGAACTTGTTATGAATGAATGACTCATGATGCTTCGTGAAAGAACTTGTGCGTAGAGGTTCATGATCAAGCATCGTGAGGTGACCTGGTGTTGACCTGATCGCTTGTTGAGGTGACTTGGGGAAATGCCTCTGAGGGTGGCGATAGTGGTGCTGTGCAAGATGAGCTCCAGTGCTTGTGAAGCTGTTTAGCAAACGGAATCGAACGAACCCATTGGCCTTTGGAGGGTTGGGATGTTGGTCTTTCTGGCGCTTGGTGGTGTGGCACTACTTGCAGACAGATCGCTGTCGCTTCAAGCAGATGCCAAAAACGCCACTCAAGTACTGCAAGGCTGGCTTCACAGCTCATTTGCTTGCTTGCTTGCTTCCTTGCTTGCTCCATTAGATGATGACCATGCCATACTTTTGCAGAGGTCCAACTTATTCTGCAGCTGTCAAAGCGAGCGTGGGTTAACCACTTTGATCCAGCTTCGGGATGCGCCGCCTACGCCTCCGCCACTCGTGGAATCCTCCGCAACAGGATTTGTTTGCACTCCGGCTTTGATGCGACACAACTGACCGAATGGTGCAAAGTGATGAACGACCATCGCTGCGATGACATATGTCACCAATTTTCACCATCTGATTTGGTCAAGATTGGTGCAGCAGAGTGATTGGGTTTCACTTAGATGATTTGATTGACCGGACAAGTCCCTGGCAGTTAGGACATCTGCCGAGCTCGGAAAGCTAAAGCCAAAGAAGGAGAGCACTCCAGAAAGGTGTCCCTTGGAGCTTCTTTTGGAGCTTCGGGTCCCCCTTCGGTCGGTGAACCCCAGTGCGAAGAGGCAATCTCGTGGGCGACGGCGAGGAGCTCGAGTTTGGGGGGGAGGATCGACCGAAACGCAACATGGCCGGCGAAGTCTTTGAAAGTGAAAAATCTCAGAGCCGATACGCCGATACACGCTGGGATTCGAACAGGGCTAAACCAGCACCAGGCTCTGAAGTTCCAGTGATCTTGGTCAAGTGACCGGGCTCCGAGTTGATTAGTCTGGTCGAGAAAAGAAGCCCTACAAGTCCAAAGACCAGTAAAGCGTGTAAAACCTGGTCCTTTATACCTCATTAGTCCTCATTGAGTAGTGTCTTTGTATGACCATCTCCGGTAAAATGAAGTGTTTGGAACTGTAGGGAAGGACTTTCCCGGAAAGCCGCCAGGATGGGGGTCCACCAGCCTACTGGTGGCTGGATCACTACCCACGCTTAGCTGAACGAGCCCAAGAACTGGGAATGGCCCATGAACCCAGGTGGAGCTGGAGCGGGGTGGAGCTGGCGTTCATGGAAAAGCATGGAGCTAGCGATGTTGGCCGGATTTTTGCCGGGGCGGAGGAGCTGGAGCGGGGAGTTTCGGAGAGGCGGCAGGATCCGGAACAGACCGGGGCCGGGCAGGTGATGGCTATTGATGGTTGGATGAGCCGGTGAGTCCCATCCGTCGAAAGAAGATGGGAAGTACACGGTGGGACCGTCACACCATTCGGTGGAACCGTCACGTCTTCCCCATTCGGTCCAACACCTGGAGCTTCAAATTGTATAGATTGACCATGTAGCTGCTAATCCATGTTCGTGTTCGGTCAACCATCAGGGTCCCCTGTTTGAAAGACCCCGGGATTGAGGTGGACATCATACAACGCCCCGGAGATACCGCCCGATGCTGAGCATGCTTGGCCATCACTGCGACATGTGCCCAGACAGTGCAGGTCTGACCATTGGACGAATGGGGTCTGTGTTTTAACAGGGAGCCCACCGATGCGGTGCGGTTGGTTCTCCTTCTTCCGGGTTGAACCGGGAGGTCTCCCCATGCAAAGACACATGCAATTGGTATCAAATAATTGGTGGACCAGATTGATCGTATCATGGAATTCTTCGAAACTTTCCCATGACAATGAGCCCTTGCCATGGCTTTTGCACTTTTCTATAGTCATAGTATGCAGGATGCATGACAAGCATCCAACAGAGACTGTCATGGTCTATAGAGTCTATAATATGGCGAGTCATTGTTGAATCATTACAGAGATCTGAATTTCCCGACATCGCAAACTTGGTCATGACCTCGCCTGAATACCTTCCTCCCTCGCTCCCCAAAACAAACAGTCAAGGCATGTCAAGGCAGTCCTCCCTGCAGAAAGCATCTTGACCACCACTCGTGATTTGGTGCTCTTTATAACGCGTTTCTTTCGTACATCTTCCACCATTTCCGCACTGCAGCCTGCCCACAAAGAGCACTGACTTGGGCACGGTTGCTACGAAACGTCCTGACCGCGCGTGGCGTTGTGAGATGTTTTTTTTCCATCGAAGCAGATCTTCGTGCCTTCGGGCTGGTGGCATGCCACGCTCAACTTGCCGGAGAGCTCCGAGGCCGCGGTGTCTTCCGTTTTCGACGCGACCCGGGGGGCCGGGGAGGTGGGGAGGACCAGCAGTCGGCCCAGAACAGGTGGTCGCGGCCCCTAGGGCGGGGCGTCGACGTTTTGATCGACTCGACTGGATGTTCAGGTCGCTCGAATTCGACCCGGGAGGATTTTGGTGTGGCCAAAGAGGTTGGGACATCAACTCCTAGCGAAACCTAGGGTGGGATAGGAAGGATAGGAAGGATAGGAAGGAAGGACTTGAAGAAGGACTTCACTAGCGTTTCAGGGCCACAGGGAGTGTGCTGCACTTGGCATTGGCGCAACAGCTCCATATGTGGGTTTGTATTGTATTTTGATAAGGAAGGCCCCCCACCAATGGGTTAGTATGTTCCTTCTTCCAGGGTTCCAACGGGGGTCAAACCCGCCAGGATGTGACGGTGGCTTGCACGCGGAACATTTTTCCAGCGGAGACGCTGGACTTTGTCGCGGCCTCAGCGTGGAAACTGCGGCCCGGCGGCCCTGTGCTCTTGAAGCGAAGCACTCAGTGCTTCCTGGACAAATTGAAAACAGGAAGATGACGTGTGGCACCTCCATCTTGAGACGTGCCAGTGCCAGTGGAGCATTTTGCCAGTGCCATCCAGTGCCTAAATTGGTTGCTGCTTGGTTTGCTCCAATCTGCTTCATGCTGCTAATCATGCGAATCATGACCTGGAAGACGACACCATTTTCTGTGAGCATTTGCAGGAATTTTCCATGCAACTGGAGTTTTGCAGCTCTTGCGAGGTTTTCCCGGAGATGAAAAAGAGCGACCCGGCTTTTGTGGCAGCCTAAGTGGCGCTGGTATGCGCTGGTCACATTCCACGTTTGACTTAAAGGGCCCACTAGCTGGTCGCCAGCTGCATGCTTCTGCGCAGCAAAGTGGCATCCTTCGAACTTCACTCGCAGGCTGTAGGAAGTTTGATTCACGCCAACCCCCAAACACCACATGGACAGTTCCCGTCCAGCAAGCTCTCTCTCTCTCTCTCTCTGCAAGTCTCCTGAAATCCTGGACATTCACTCAATGAGACACACATAAGCTGCAAGGCTGCAAGACCATCATAGGTCGTTTTGCATCCAAAAGAAGATCTGTTCCAAGGCGTGAAACGACCTGATTCGGTGGCATTCCGATGAGCCAACCCGTGCGAAAGCCAACCCCGCCCCGGTCCCGAGCGTCTTGAGGCCCGTGCGTTTCTGGAGATTCTCCAGGAGAAGCGGCCAGAGCTCATGAGGTGGGACTGCATCGCCGCGGCCGTTGAGAGACGTCCGAAAGACCGTCCGGAGCTCTTCCTTAGACTGAACTGCCCCCCCCCATCTATATATGCAGATTATATCAGAGTATTTATTATAGATTATATCATATTAGAATGGGGGACTGGAAGACTGGTGCCCAGTTATATACACATGCTTGATGTAAAATGTAGATTTCAGGAAGCTCCCACACCGACTCGCCTGACTCACCGATGACTCGCCTGGCATGGGCGTTGGATGGAGGTTCCTACCGGCAGCCTCGGAGACGAGCAAGCCCGAGCTGGTGGGAGAGGACCCGTCAGGAGCTCAAATAAGGGGGGAGCTCACAGACGAAGGATCTACGAGCTTGCAAAAGTACTAAGAGCTACAAGGAACATAGAAGGTCAACCCTTGTGGTTTGTGCGTATACTTGGATCGATGAGCTAGAATAGAATAGAACCTTGAGGGCCCACACATTTCTATCTAGCGAGCCTTGGAGGGCCTACTTGTCCTACGTGTGCTCACAATGGGCCTACCATTCGGGGCCTTTTTGGAATCCCATCTGGAGACAAAGGCACGTGGTGTTTGCATCTCCATAAGAGCAAACGGCGACCGTGACTAACTGAGTGAGGTGAGGAGAAGGCAAGGCGGCAGAGGTTCAAAGAGAACTAGCGGTTTACTGCTGGAAGACTACTTCGCACTATAGAATCTTAGAACAATTGCTTGTTGTTTACAGTCAGGACTTGTATTATATAATAGATTATAATAGATTCGTTTTACTTTTGCCCAGCCTGCTAGCACAGACCCAACCATGGTGCGGTATGTCATTTTGTCAGCCTGGCTGCCTGGGTCCATCCCCAGTAGCAACGTTTTGCACAGACCTTTTCACATCCATGGAGCACCATGGAGCTTCGAGGGCCGGAGAGCACACCGGGCATCACCCGGGCCCGACGGTTCGCCGGGGCCGCGGCGTGGTGCTGCCGTTCGAGGTCTTGGCAGCTTCCACGACGTCACTTCAGCTCCTTGAGCTTGGCGGAGTGTCGGTGCGCCGCTTCTCACGACCAAACGACCCGGGACGTGTCGGAGTGTCGGTCCGAAGGCTGACTCGGTCGTGTCCCTAAAAGTCTAGAGTCTAGGAACCAAACCTTGGCATTCCAAGCCCAAGAAACTATAAGAAACTAAACTACTAGGAACTAATGGTCCATTAGTAGTTACTACCTACTTTACCCCCCCATGCCATGCCTTATTTAAAAAAACAATAACAAAGAAAACAAAGAGGCTCCACTCCCATTGCTTCGGTGGAAGACGTTTGAACATTGAGTGTCACTGACAGTATCACTGACCGTCACTGACAGAACAAACAGCAAACCAACAAACGTCCCGGAATAATAACCCAAGCAAATTCAATAGTTAGTATTAATGAGTATGTATTAATAATAACATGGGGAGCTACCAAAAACACACCACACCTTCGTTCCGCCATGCCCTCGGACTTACTGCGGCGCCAAGAATCACCGACTCGGCTCATCAGCTGAGCAGAGTCAATGTACAAAGTTCTTCGATTGCAAAAACCGCAGTATCTCCTCACGTCATCGTGATGTAAGATGATATAAGAAACAAAATATCAGTTCAACATAGTGCGACTGTTTTTCACTTCCATTTTTGTTGCAGTATGTAGAATATTGGAAGAGAGAGAGAGAGAGAGGTGGCCCAGTGGCCTGGCGCACTTTGAAGTAACTTGCTGCCAAATGACAGGCAATCGTCTACCTATATGGATGATACGGCATGCTAGCATGTTTAGCAACTATAGGGATTCAAGGTGCTGGCTGTTGAACCTTGCCAGGGCGTCTTTGAAATTATCTCTAAGGTTTTGCACCCACAACCCTCAGTCGCGTGGACCAGGTTGAAATCCATTCCCTCTTGGAAGGAAGCGAAGCAAGCAAAGCCTTCTCTCTTGGACCAATCACCACCCCTTTTGGCCCCACTCCCTAGGTCAAGATGGAGAAGCGAAACCGCAAGGATGTTGATCCCCCAATGATCCCCAAAAATAAGTTTCATCTATCCACCAGTACCACTTCTGAAAGAAGATGTTTTGGAGTTGAAGACGTCTCGTTGGACAAAACAGAAGCGCCAAACATGTGGACAAACGAAAATACTCAGAAAATCATTGGAACTGAAGAAATCACCCAACATGTGTGCCTTTGGTGTATAAGCAAAGTGTCTCACCTCGGGTCCCGAAGCGATGCACGGAGAGAGCGAGCGAGGGCGCTTCCGCCAGGCGGCGCTTCATCCGCCCCAAGCAGCCCTTGATCATCGAGGGCTTAGATCCCTACTTGGTGCCAGGACCCGAGCCATTTCGATATGTGGCCAAGCGGACCAAGCACCAAGCAGTTGGAAGCAGTTCAAGTGCTGCTTGGACAAATCCTCGCTGTTTATATAGACCCAAAACGTTACAGGACAACAACTCGTTTTGAGACTCGGTTCTTCCGGTCTCCACTGCGTTTGGCTGAGTTTTGTGGAAGGCAAGTGTCATTGAAGGAGTAAGTAGGGAGACCAGTGTTCCGTTCACTCGATTTACTTTTGCCGATATTTGATTAGTGACCTGTCGACTGCATGTGGTTTGCTTGCTGCTTTTGCATGAGCCTACAGATGAACAGCATGCTTTTCTTTTGCAACATGCAAATCATAGTTTAATATCATGTGGTCCTATTGTGTGCAAAACAAATCCATTGCCACAAAGGACGGAAGAACTGATAAACTCCGAGTTATATGAAGCCTTTCACCAAATGAATCATCACCAGATCTTGAATGGATCACTAGCCTCCCAAATGATCATTTGCCTCTTGAATCGTTTTCCGTCCCAGTCCTTCCTCCCCCAGGTCCACTGGGGGGACGACTCTCGTCCGAGGTCACCTGAGACCTGCCATCTCTCTCGAGACTTTCTCAGCCGGCACTTCGGAGAGAAGATGGTGGGGCGACCCGTTGCGGCGACGCCGCGCACGTCGCACGATGACCACTGCGATGACGTGACAGTCTTCGCTTTTTTTTTCTGTGACGACAGTGAAACTTCAGCGCGTCGTTCGGACATGTGATGTTGGTCGACTCTAGCGGTGGCGTCGAAACTTCCAGGGGCGTTAGTTGTTTGTTTTGGCTTAAACACAACATATATATATATATTACATATTGCAATTATAATCAAATATATATATACACATATATAATACATATATATATATATGTATACATACACATGACTCGTCATGACTTGGGTCTGATCGTCTGACCCTTCCACCGACGTTTTTCCTTACGGGAGACCTCGGTCCCTCCGGCCGCTCGCAGGTGGCCGTGTTCCGGAACTTCCGAGACCCCAAGCAGCGGGATGCCGAGGCCGGGCGTGAGACGACGGGGAGTCGGGAGTCGGTACGCGGAGGGAGGAAAGGCATGGTACGACCGGAGAATCGTTGAAGCCATGGTTTGAAACCATGCATATGGGGAAATGGCAGATCTTGCAAGTTGGGAAGACCGGGAAGATGGACTATCAAGTAAGTGGGCGTTGGGTCTATGTTCAGTCCCGAAAGTTGCAGGTGGTGACTGGATGGCGGCCCCTATGTTTCCCATAGCCACATGGGGTGGGGTTAAAAGCATGGTAGGTTGACATTGTTGGTGATCCTATTCAATTTCAGAGCTCAACTAATTTTGCAATATGTCCTTGCTGGACTATTCTGTGCATGTTTCGAGCGTACATGGGGATACAGAGCAAGGAGGACAGGCATAATGAAGGTTTCAAATTAAATGGTCTAAATTGTTTCAGTGCATTCGATCGGAATACTTTCATTCAGCCGCCCCCCTGACAGCCCCTGGCAGCTGGTTGTTTTTTTAGGGTAGGGGCGGGGCCCTTGATTCAGAGTGTCCGATCCCTTACGCATCCTCTCGCGATGTCTTTCGCAGCATGTGATCTCGGAGCTGCAGCACCCTTCACGATTCACCCCCTATGTGCCGATTCAGCGCCAACGAAAGGATGTTCACTTTGGAACCCCAAACACTACGAATGCATCCCTTCACGTGTCGACACTGCAAGGATGAGATGGAGGTGATGCGCTTGTCACAGGTGGGGTGCCCCGATCTGCCACCCACCCAGAGGATTCAACGATCAAGTAATGCAAACAGTTGACAACCGATAGGAAAGTATATAGCCAGCACCTTCAAACGTAGCAGAAATTTAAGTACATAGCTAATTTGTAGCATGAATTGGGTTACACCTCAAAACGCATGTTTTTTTCTGCTTCGAGCAGAAATTGGAAATCGAGCACTTTTTGATGCATGCGTGTGGCTTGGAGCTGGCCCTCATGTATGTCAGGGTGTGCGCAGGTCAGGTTCCAGGTGCGCTGTAGCGCCATGTTTGACCTGGTCAATGGAAGACGCGCAGGTCTTCCCGGCTTGGCTTGATTGGGTGTGGGATTCTTTGCAAAGGAAGCACCGGTCGGAACATGCTGAACAACTTTCTATGGTAGCCATTACCTTGATCTATCCAGCTGGATTGCCGCCTCTCCGCTTCCAATGGGGTCACCCGTGGCAGCAGCATGGGAAAAGCTAGACTATTTGGTTGCGGGTGCCCAAAAAGGGCATTTGGTGTGCTACTCTGACTCGAAACAAGAGCATTTCACTCGGAGGGATGTGGTGAATAATGCCGATCTTCTTGGACCCTTGATTGAACACTTGGGTAGCTTGGCTTGGGTTTTATTTGTAACTACTGAGTGCACTGAAATTTTTGAAGCCCTCAGAACTTGGGTAGATATACCTCGAATGAGCCTGGATCCAAAGATTGCCTCAGGTATGCGACCAACCGTCACCGATGTCCAGAAGCATGTGGATGAATTTTTCTGGAGAGTACGCGCTCGTGCCAAAGCTCCGGTCAGCGGTGCCTAGCCAGCCTTTAGTTTTGCACCCTGAATCTCCTGAAAATCACGCATGTTTATTGGAGGGAGGCTGGCTATCCATATGACATGTGATTCATGTGATCCTTTTCGATCTCCCATGAGGTCCAACGATCAAAGCTCACGCGTGGGCTTTACGGCAGTTGGTGACCCAGTTTGGGAGAGCGGCCCGAAGACCGCATGTGCCGCGTGAAGCGGCGATGAGAGCGCTTTTTGTCAGTGGTGGAATTCCTATCCCGGAAGGCCCTATCCTTGTGACAACAACTGCTTGTTTGTTGCACATATGTATATACAAGTCTCTTCTCATGGGTGCAAATTTCTAGCTTAGTGCTCACTCTCTAACAAAAAATTGTAAATATTGGTCAGGTGTGGAGGTCAAAGAGGAGCACGAGTCTGAGGAAGACAATCTTGAGGAGGAGGGTGGAGAGGAAGAAGAGGTTGATGAAGACCCTGTTATCCATGAGAAGGAGTTCAGAGTTGATGCTATGTGTGTGTGTGTACATGGAATTCCATGATCATAGCATTATAGTACAAAGGTATATATTATATACCTGAACCCACTGCCATCCACTGTTCCATCTCCAGGACTTGGCAACCACACCATCTGCAGCGGTGCCAAATGCTGCCAGTGTGCCTGGAGGTGTTGAGGAGAAAGCTTCGTCTTCTGATGGGCCAATTGTGAAAGGACCGGCGCAGGCCAGGGACAGTTCTCCAGAACCAAACCTACGCGTGCCTATATCCCGAGCTTCGAGCAAAGGGCTTGTCATCAAACCCAGCACCTCGTATGTGGGTGTTGGCAATCTTATACGGGACCTGTTTTTGAACTGTACCATGGTTTTCCATGAACTTTCTAAACAAATCCCATGCATTATATATAATCCCAGGTAGCAAGTCGACCCGCTCACCATCGGTGGTTGCAACTCCTTCACCGAGAGGCGCATGATTGGACCATTTGGGGAAGTGAAGAAAAGAATCAAGAATAAACAAGTGCACCATGCATGCTCATTTAAAAGAACAGACAACCCTGAAAGGCTTGGAGCCACCTTCTTGCACGCCGCCAAACCCTCCCAAAGCGCTGAAGTTTGCTCATGCTTTGGTGCAGAAGGAAAAGGGGTACTATGCATGCTTGGCATGTTCATGCCAGGCTGTGGACATGGAGGCATTGGAGGCCTTTGAATGCGCTCCCTCTGATGCTTTCAAGAAGTCCAGCATGCTCCAGCGGTTGCAGGAGGAACATCTCAAGCTGGAGAAACTTAGGAAGCTTAGACTTCTTGAGATAGAACTATTCCAACTCAATGCCCTTCGAGAACAGCAAGCCATCCGCACCTCTTCTTTCGTGCCCAAGAAGACTGCTCCGCAATGTATTGTCCTTAGCTAATGACCCCCATTCTTGCACATGCATGTGATAGGTATACACCGTGGATTGTGTGAAGCAAGTTCTTGCAACATTGTGTAGGGTACATGGGGGTCAAACGACCTGCCTTGCAAGGCCTGGACAACCTTGAGACACAGCCCATGGAGCTCACTGATTTGCATGTTGCTGAAGCGGCTGCTGTGACAGCGGTGATTGAGGAGGAGGGATTGTGGGACATAATTTAATCAGTTGGATTTAAGAAGTATGTATACATGCATAATTATGGTGAATGTTCTGGCCTTTGTTGTTCATGTTTTTACTGGAGCTAGTTTACAGAAGTGCTTGGAGGACCAAGCAAAAGAGTCGGTTCATCCCCAGCCAAAGCGGTTTGCCAGCATGCAGCAATGCTTGTCCACGACTCTCTACATGAACTCGGAGTTCTTGAAGGACCATGAGGCAAAGAATGTGAAGGAGAAGAGTGGAATGGAGAATCCTGACACCCAAACTGTCCCAACTCCAGAAGATGAAGCTGCTGATCAGGCGATGCATCCCAAGATTGCCCAGCTTGCAGACTCTGAGACCGTGTCCGCTGAGCCTTCACACGGGCAAGAGAAAGGAGAAAGTGCAGGCGAGAAGGGTATGGAAGTCGATTCAATGGTGGCTGGTGGGGATGACACGTCCAGGAGCGTTGACTGCAATTCCAAGAGCCCAGAGGTTGTGGCAGTTGGCATCCCACAGCAGCCACAAGAGGTTCCCAAAGACGCGGTCGTTGAGACGCAAGAGTCTGACAGGAAGCCTGCTTTAGAACAAGAGGCCAACCAATCCCAGGAGGATATGGCTGAGGCACGTTCCAGCGAGGAGACGGTGGAGCCACAGGCTAATGACCAGAAAGGTAAAACAAGGTGTGAGTCGCCTGAGAATGTGAAGCCAGTGGCACCAAAGAGCCAGCCAAAGGCTGCTAAACGACTCAGGAAGAAAACAACGGTCTTGGAGCTGGAGGAAAAAGAGGAGAATGCAAAAAAGGGCAAGAAGTCTAAGTCCAAGAAGAGCAAGAATGCTGGGCGAAGTGCCAAGGTGAAGGAGACAGAGAAGAGTGAACCAAAGAAGAAGTCCAAGAAGCCTGCTACAGAAGAGGAGGAGAAAACAAAGGACAGTGAGGCAGGGAAGTTGAAGAAGGAGACAAAGAGCAGGAAGAAGCAAAAGCAGTCAAAAGATGAAGAGAATGTGAGTGAGCCCGTGTCCAAGAAGAAGAAGTCGACTACTAGCACAGCCGAAGTCGAGGAGGGAGGATGCAAGAAGAACAAGGGGGCATCTCCTAAGAGGAAGAATGATGGCAAGAAAGGGAACGCCGATGAGAAGAAGCAAAAGCAATCCCGCAAGTCCTCGGCCTATCATTGTGCTTTGAGGAAGGCTCGCCTTGATGGAAAGTCAGAGGAAGACGCTCGAAAGCTGGCGAAGGAGGCCTGGTCAGTCACATGCTAGCTTGCAAATCACGCGGCATACTTTTCCACATGTGAACATCTGCCAGCAACCAGCCCCTGATGTTAACTTATATATCGAATGCAACATATATGCAATATGCACATGCAAACTCACCTTTCCCCTTGCTTTTCAGGCGTACTCGTCCACTTCGTGATCAAGGACTATAGGGTTTGGGTATGGTGCCAAAATGGCATCCATTGCAGAGCTTGGGCAATAGTTCATCGAGTGTCCAACGCTGTGCGGCTGGGGAACCTTGCCTGTGCAGGGAATCTAGGAAGAGGAAGACCTCACCTGAGATCGGAAAAGAATTAGTGTGAGATGTGTTTCTAGGATTCTAGAAATTCGGAGCTCTGCTCAATCATGCAGTTCAAATTCAAACCAACCCCCAGCCTCCCTCCCCCTTTGGATTCCTGATTTGTTTAAAACTCTGACCTCATGGCAGGTCTGCAATTGAAGAATGACAACATGGATGGCCAGGGCTATAATTGCAGGTGCCACCTGAGCTCTGACTTGCCGACAGTTTGTGAACAACCTTTGCTAGCCTGTGAGCTGTTTTTCGTTTTTTTGCAGCTGGGATCAAACGGCATAACTATCGTGTCACCTGGCCATGGAGAGCCAAAGTCCCTTCCTGGACTCGAGCACGGCATTTAACTTGATGGAACTTGGTGCTCCAAAAACCCTGGTTGCAATCGTACCCAGGCCACAAAGGGAAATCATGTGGCACATGTGGTATCAGAAACCAATGGCAGCTGTGCGATGCTTCTTCTTTGCGTGTTCTGAATATTTCAGGGTTGTGATCTTCTTGATCCCAGGTCTTGCTACTTCAGTGGTGTCGGGATTTTCCTCGTGAGGGACCTTATGATTTCTTCGAGGTTTTCAGCGGAAAAGCAAACACAACCAAGTGGTGGAGACTTGAAATGCATAGGCATGTGAAATCGAACTGTATGCATACTCCAAAGGGATATATTAAACCTGATTTGATCTTAGGCACAAATGTGGTTTCAAGTGCGCTTCCTTTGACATTGACTACTCTGCCACCGAGATTCGTTCTTCATCCATGGACTTCCTTTCACCATCTGGGTTCCTGTACCTGGGAGGAAGACTGCGTGTGTATATATATTAATATATATATATATATTTATATATTATATATAGAGCCATTGAAGGAACTTTCCATACAGACCCTAGGCTTTGCATCTTCGTTGTGATGCAAGAGATGCCCAATGCTATGAATGTACTGGCGCCGGACTGTGGGAGTTGGGGGATTCCAGCTCGTGGTACGTCTAGGCGATCCTATCACAATTATCAGGGTGCTACAGGATTTCCATTTGTAGCCAA